TTTTTTTCCTTTTTGTCTTTTTTCGTGACCGGCAACAGATCGCAACCCTCAGTGTCACGCCCGCACCTCGCTCAGCCAGCGAGTGGCCGGTCTGTATGTGGGATCTGAACCCTCGGCGGGAGCGCCGCCACACACCCAAGCGGCACACTGTAGCAGTGCGCCGCCGGGCCGCCCCTGTGCCGCCCCTGTGCCGTGCCTTTCTGAAAACAGAGCTGGCAGTCAGCAAATATATGCATTTCTGTCCATGTTTTGGCAATTTAAAGAGTTGCTTTCATGAAACACTGGTGAGGCCATTTTCCTAGACTTGGCCTGATATTGAAAGGAGAGAGAAAAAAGGCAGCCTGAAATAGGCTGGCTTGTCAGAGCCCAGGGGACACACAGCTTTCAGGAGCCACCCTGTAGAGGCTGGCGCTGTGGGTGTGTGGGACACCGCATTCTCCTTGGAGCCTCGTGTCCAGCTCCCACAAGCCACAGTGGCTGCTTCACCCAATTCGGCCGACATGTGCATCGAGCCAAGAAAAATGAGCAGAGAAACGGAGGCAGCTTGGGGAAATATCGGGAAGGGTGGCCTGATCACATTCAGAAACAGGGAAGAAAAGGCTCACGTAGTTTATTTCAGTGTCCTGGCCGTGGACAAGAAAGTCACTGCTCCCTATCCTGCCTGCTCAGCCCTCCCTCTTTGTCCTTGAGACAGCGGCTGGCGTGGCAGCCATCGGGCCTGCCCTGGGAGGCACCTATGTGGACCCAGCGCCCATCGCCAGTCACATCATCAGTGCAGATGCCATAGAAGGTAACAGTTCGGCTCGGTGGCTCCTTCCTGTGAAGGGACACATTTTACCTGCAAATTCACGCCCCTCCTGGAGGTGTGGCGCCCCCTCTAATGCTGGGTTTGAGGAATCCATTGGCAGGGATTAGCGTAGCCATGGGCTCAGAAGACAGTGTCCGTGAACCTTCTGAGTGTCTCTTGCAAAGGGACACCACTGTCGAACAAAAAGGAAGGTTAAGAGTAATAGGCTATACTGGGGCTAGCCTGTTGCTTGGTTGGTGAGAGTGCGGTGTTATAACACCAAGGTCAAGGACTCGGATCTCTGAAACAGCCAGCTGCCAAAAATAGTAATAATAATAATAATAATATGCCTATAAGCTCTCCAGCCCAAAGGGTACTTTTATTTTGAGCCTTTTTGTTCACAAGCCATAGTTTTTCATTTAACCAACAGCGAGCGACAGCCATTGATGGGGCAGACACCACGTTTACCTCCTGGCCTGAGTCTGGCGGGCGCGTGTGGCCCGGGGAAGGGCCCAGCCCCACCTGGGGTGGGAGGAAGGCGCCCCAATAGCCACTACACAGCATTCAGATTTTGCCAAGCCCCCATGCAGCCACTTGTGTGACACAAGTCAAGGCCCATCTAGTACCTATGATTTTTTTCCCTTTTCAGTTTTCTTTTCTTTTTTTTCTTTTATTTTTGTTTGTTTGTTTTTTGCTTTTCAATTTTCTTAACAGGGTTTTTTTTTTAAGTATGAAGATATGAAAATATACTGGTTATAACAAGAGAAATGTTTATATCCTTTTTTGTAACTTAATATTACCTCACTGATTTTTCCTTCTTAGTACGTAATATTAATGATTATTTTAGCAGTTGTACAATTTTAATTTTTAATTGCGTTTTTTATTTTTAGTTAAATTTTTAATTCGTATTTTAAATTTTTTATTTCTGGGCCGGCCTGTGGCTCACTCGGTAGAGTGCGGTGCTGATAACACCAAGGCCACGGGTTCGGATCCTATATAGGGATGGCCGGTTTGCTCACTGGCTGAGCGTGGTGCTGACAACACCAAGCCAAGGGTTGAGATCCCCTTACCGGTCATCTTTAAAAAAAAAAAAAAAAAAAATTTTTATTTCTGATTTTTAATTTTTTTTTTTTTTGGCAGCTGGCCAGTACAGGGATCCAAACCCTTGACCTTGGTATTATAACACTGTGCCTTAACCAGCTGAGCTAACTGGCCAGCCCAATTTTTAATTATTTTAACTATGTGTTGCAAAAATATATAACATCGGCCCTCGTAAGCATTTTACGTGTCCAGTTCAGCAATGTTAATTAAAGTCACGTTGCTGTGGCTGTGCAGTTTTATGCCCATTTAACTGGACTTCTTTCTTTGTGTCGGGCATTGGGGTAAAAACTCCCACTTCTTTTTTTTTTTTTTTTAAAGATGACCGGTAAGGGGATCTTAACCCTTGACTTGGTGTTGTCAGCACCACGCTCAGCCAGTGAGCAAACTGGCCATCCCTATGTGGGATCCGAACCTGTGGCCTTGGTGTTATCAGCACCGCACTCTCCCGAGCGAGCCACGGGCCGGCCCAAAACTCCCACTTCTGCCTGGATCTGAGTATTAACACACGTGCTGCTCCTGAAAGTCACAGGCCCCTCAGCAGAAAGCAGCTCATCCACTGGCCAATAGACACAGACAGGCATGGGTGACGCCTTCCCCACCCGAGAAGGTCGTAGCCCCTCCAGGAAGCGGCCTGATGTCGCCAAGTGATGGGTGGGGGGGCTGCAGGAGCCGCTGAGTGACACAGCCCGGGGACAGCCCTGACAGCTTATAGCCCGGCCATGCTGGCACTGAATGACCTGCTGAAGCAGCAGCTGAGCCTGACGCAGCAGTTCCTCGAGGCCAGTCGCCATCTGCACATCTCCCTCCTGCAGTCCCTGGACAGCGACTCATTCCATTACCACACCCTGGAGGAAGCCAAAGAGGTGGGACATCATGGAGCTGCATCTTCCCAGGGGGCAGGGCGGTCGGGGTGGCCAGGGCACCCGAGATGCCAGCCAGCAGGTGGTGCCCTAGGGGGCCTGGGCCTTTGGGCTCTGGATATGGTGGGGCTGTTACCTTCTGTCCTCATAGAGGGAGCCTCATTTTCTCCTGGTGCTATGACAGCAGCCGCATGAGATGGAGGGTACTGAGCGCCTGGGCCAGGCAGCCAGCCCTGCATGGGCACTGCATGACCTTGGACCAAAGGGGACCTGCTGTCTGTGGCACTGTTTTCTCCTCTGGGAGGGGTCCTGTCCCCTTCACCAGAGTACCCCTGGGGGGGAGCTAGAGGAGGCATCAGGTCCTGGCCGTTCTCCTCAGTCCTCGGGCTGAAGCTCAGGGAATATCACCCTCACCCCCATTTTTCTCTCCAAAAATTTAATTTTCGTCTGATTACCCAAAAATATGTGCCTTTTTTTTTTTTTGGCAGCTGGCCAGTAAGGGGATCTGAATATGTGCTACTTTTAAAAATCTTGTCACAGAGATGTGTAATTTATAGCCCTCCACAATTTCAGAGATGACTATTACTGACATATATTCTTGTGCAAAGTATGAACAGTATATATAAATATGCCTTTATAGAAATGGCATCATGCTACATGCACTGTCCTTTGGGTGATTTTTAAATATTTCAATATTTATTTTTTAAAAGTGACTTTAAAAACATACAGTCACAATGCCATTAAATTCCATTATAATACTAAAACCAGATTTACTTAATGTCATGGAATAGCAAGTGTTCAGATTTCTGCTTGTCTCATTGAAGTTGGACATTTTGTTGCCTTTTTTTGATCAGGATCCACAGTCCATACATTGAGTCCATACATCTAGATTGTTTGATGTGTCTTTTTAGCCTTTTAATCTAGAGCAGCAACTGGTTCTCAACCCTGAGCAGTGTCAGAATGCCCTGGAATGGGTGCTGGGCCCGCCGAAGTTGGGTCAGCAGGTGGGTGGGCCTGGGAGCAGGCAGTAATGCTGCCACTGGGGACCCACTTTGAGAACTGCTTTATAGCTGCTCCCCTTCCCCAAATCTCTCACTTTGATTTCTTTACAGTTTATCTGTTGAAGAAAACAGGTTGTTTGACCATTTCCTACATTCTAGACTTTGCTGATTTCACCCCTTTGGGGTCCTTTAACTCATTCTTCTGTCAGATATACATCACCTGATCACATGCAGGCTAAAGCGATCTGACGTCACCTGCCTATAGCCCACCATGGCTCCCTGTGGCCTGCTCCAGGCCCTCGTCCCAAGTGTGGCACCCAGGTCCTTCTCCCCGACCCCCCGTGTGGCCTGAGGGCACCCAAGGTTGCTCTCCCTTTTCTGACTCAGTCAGGGCTCACCCCTTGCAGGGGTGCCCTCAGCCTGCCTGGGTCTTTCTCTCCCCTTGTCTCCATGGCACCAGGCATTCCTGTGTGCCAGCACTTGTCACATGGCATCCCGTCATTTTACTGTTCTGCCAGCCTGACTGGAGCCTGCTGAGCACAGGCACTGTCACTATGTTCCTTCCCCAGTACCCAGTAACTTCTCAGTCCACACTGAGGTGGCAGTGTGTTCTCTGCTCTCTAGTACATTAGGCGCCACAGGCCTGCTCCGCTGACCATGGAGGATGCCCTGGAAGAGGTGAAAAAGGAGCTGTGAGCACGAGGAGGTGAGGCTCGACTTGGGGTACTTCTCAGTCCACACTGAGGTGGCAGTGTGTTCTCTGCTCTCTAGTACATTAGGCGCCACAAGCCTGCCCCGCTGACCATGGAGGATGCCCTTGAAGAGGTGAAAAAGGAGCTGTGAGCACGAGGAGGTGAGGCTCGACTTGGGGTATGACCTAACAAGCTGTCCTGTATGCTCGGTCACCACACACGTGCTTCCAGGTGACCACTCCTAGTGGGGGCAGGTGGTGCTGGGATAAGGGCCTAGCATTCACCTGAGTTGAATTCCAGCTCAGTAACTGAACTAAGTAATTTAACCCTCCCAGCCTGTCTTCTCAGTAGGTAGTCATGAGGAGACTGTGTGCCTGGCATCCTTGATGACGCACCAGGGCCAGTGGAAATGGAGTCCTGGATGGAGCTGTCACCGCTCAGGGCAGGATGGGGGCTACCAGCCTCTGCAGAGCAGCTCCACCCACCCATGTGTTGGCTTGCCAGCCAGCCTGAGGGAGATGTGGCAGATGGCAGGAGCCCCGGAGACACAGGACCAAGTCACATGCTGGAGACTCCGACCCCAGGCTCCACAGTTTAGTGAGTCTGCACCAAGAAGGTGCCCCCACTCTGCAGCCCGAGCACACTTCTGACCAAAATACATAGAGAAAAGGTCTTTAAAAAAAGTCTTTATTTGAAGGCAAAACAGTAAAACCCACAAGAAATCATTAACAGCATGTGTGTACATTTTCTCCTGAATCAGATACTTTTGAACAATTCACAGCTACAGGAAATCTAGAAGAAAATTGAGTATTTTATCACATCAGGTTGAAAAGTTGGAGAGGACTTTGCATCTTAGTGAAAAGGATTTTTCAAAAATGTTTCTATACAAATAAACGGCACTGCACCAAGTTGCCCGAGGACACCACGTGTGGTCGATCCCAGCAGGTCACCCAGAAGCTTCCAGCCTGGCAGAGGTGGCTCCCCCCTGGGCTGGGCTGGGGTATGCAGATGAAGGAGAGAGCAAGAGGCCTAGCTGGGTGGTCGTGCTCTACACTCTGGGTCTGAACGGGCTTTCACACACAAGTGCTGGTGTGGGGCTGCTTCTAAGTGAAAAACGCAAGCAGGGCATGAAGTATGAGATTCTCAGCGCCATTCCTTGCCCTGAAGATGCCTTGGACCTGTTTCCTTAGAACTTTTCATTTCTCCAGATAATAGCAAATGGCTAACATTTGAGAAAAAAAAAATATCAACTTACACAACTAAAGCAACTGAACTAAGGGCCAGTATATCTTAGAGAAATCAGGCTTCAAATGATCTCACTGGGGATCACCTTAGAGTAAAATTCTTTTCTCTAAAACTAAACCAATTGGAGTAAAAATGAAAACCCTGCTTAACTTTGCAAATCACAAAGATTTTGTGTTTCCATTTTCAATCATGAGCAGTCCTGGAGCCTGGCCTTGGCTGTGTCACTGCACAGCGAGGGGTAGTGGGTCAGAGCTGGCCCGACCTGTCCGGCTGCTCGCGCAGGGCCGCTCCTCCGCATGCTCCCGCGGTCTGAGAGGAAACTCAGATCTGACTTAGGGCAGACGCGCACCAGCCACTCCTGTAGGTAGGAAGCATTCTTATTCGGGGAGTGGAGGGTCTTGTGGTTCTTGCTTTGCTGTAAAGGAAAACGAGCTCACAGCCGTGGTGGCCGTGGCACCTCCGGAGCCCGAGCCCCGTCCAGGCCGTCGCGCGCGACGCTCCTCACTAGGCATGCGTTAGTCTTCCTTCTCTTCCTGTCGCACCCCAATCGTGGAGACTGCGTGAGAACCGAGTTGTCACTACGATCTTCCACTGCCAGTAAGCCAAGGAAGGTCCCAACAGCTGGCACTGCCAGCTGCTGGCGTGGCTCCCAGCCCGCAGCTCCTACTTACACTCGTCCCTGGCCTTCATGCGGGCGATGAAGGAGTAGCTCTTATTCCTGCGGTAGTTCTCATAGGGGTCGTCCAGGGCCACGCCCACGCCCTTGTACTGGTCCCACTTATCCCGGACATCTCCCCCCTTGATGGGGTCCTGGATTCCCTGCTCTTTCACACCAAGGCCACCAGAGCCGCTCCAGCCTTCAGAAAGAGTGGCATGGTTATAACCCACAGGCGAGGCCAGAACTTTCTCTGACTCCATCAGTCCCCAGATGGAGACAGGGAAAGAAAGGCTGTCATCTCCTAACTCCCAGAGCGCCCTCCAGGGAAGCTTACCCATCTTCACCAGCATCTGATGTCCCTTGTTCTCTTCTCCGAGCCTTGAGTCAGGTATGGGAAGTGCTGAATTAGAACCCAGACCAGCCGAGGAACTAAAATTAAGACAGGTTACATCTTTTAAAAATATAATCAAGACATTTATTGGAATGAAAATTATTAGAGTAGTACAGCATGAAGCTCGTGTCACCGGCTACCACTGTGAAGTGGACACACGCGTTTCGTGTCTCTATCGTCGTTCTTTATCCTCTTCATCAGCCAGATAAGGGGTCCCCTCAGATGACGACCCCTGCCCCACACTTAGCATCAAGGGCAGGTCACACCGAACCCCTAAAAGTGGTTAGAAATCACACAGCCCAACTACCACCGCAGGCTTCACAAAGTGACTACTACAAAAGGGCAACCACAGTGTGGGACGAGGGGGTGCCACTGTCACTGAGCTGGTGCTTGTGGTCTCTGAGGCGCTGCCTTAGTCTTCTAATGACAAATGTTTACAATTCACAGCGAAGCATCAGAGGATTCCAGCGCTAGCAGCGGTCACAGTTAAGACAGAAATCTTACGGCGGGGTGGGGCTCCTGGACCGCGATCGACGTCTCCTTCCTGGGGAGTACGACTTGGACCGGGACCTGGACCGGGACCGAGAGCGGCTTCTCGAGGAGCGTGATCTGCTCTGGCTCCTGCAGGCAAGAACATCTGTGGCTCAGCGCAGCCCAGCTGTCACAGGAGCTGTGGGCAGCAGCCATGGACACAGGCATCCCACGCACAAGGCTGGCACTCTGCCTACCTGGACCTGGAGCGAGAGTAGGAACGGGAGCAGGAGCGCGACATTGACCTTGAGTATGAGCCCGACGACTTGGAGGATCTCGAGTTGGAGCGGGAGGAAGAGCGCCCTCGACTCTTGGATCTGCTCCGAGACCTCGAGGGTCCACTGCAGGGAGAGGCCTGATGAGTGGGAGCCCCAAAGCAGCTCCTGTGCTTCTACCAGCCATGCCCGGCCCGTGCAGCCACAGCAAAGGTGCTGGGTTCCTGAACAGTGTGGCTGAACACAGGCGACCACAGCTGCTCTCCCGCCGCTGTGTTAACTTGGGCCTCATGGGAGATAGCTCCCGGCAGCTCTGCCCGCAGCAGCATCACACACACACACACACACACACACACACACAGCAGACACCCGGCCTCTCACCTGTTCCTCTTTTCCTGGCCTTTCCTCCGCCGGGCCCGCATTTTTGCTCTGAAGAACTCGTAGAGGCCATTCTGCTCCCAGCCTTCGCTGTAAGACACGTGTTCCCCATGTGACTGTGTACAAGCAGCCTCCCACGGGAAACTTGTGAACACGTCAGCAGGATCAACCCCCTACCCCCAGATGGGCCAGGAAGCCCCAGCTGAGCCATCCTGGCCTGGCACCTCCTGGCTCTCACATGGTCGCTGCGCTGAGGACAGATTTAGGGGACTGTGGGTGTCATACTGGAGATGAGGAGTTCTGACTCAAGTGGACAGGCCTGCGACCCAGCATGGGGCAAGAGGTGACCACCACTGGGGCATGGTATGCTGACAGGGACCAGGGACAGCAGCTGCTTTTGAGAGATGCCACGTCTGAGATAACTTGTTCTAACACATCTTGATTAAAGAAGCCCTTCACGAGGGCCACTGTATGTGTGCCTGTGCAATACATGCTAACTCAGCATGGGGTTTTCCTCCTTAGAGACCGCTGCGTTTCCTCACCTGGGCAGAAAGCACGGCTTTTAGCAGGCTTTCTCTCAAAAGGAGCAAAGTCAGGGGGAGACAGGCCAAGAGAGGGAATGGAGGCCTCCCCTGGCCTGTCGCCCTGCCCCGTACCTGTTCCTGGGCCTGTCGTGGGAGGGCGGGCTGTAAAAGGCCTCCACGGCCGCCAGCAGTCTCTCGCTGGGCGGCATGGGGGGTGGGAGGCGGATGTCTTTAGGGTCCAAAGGCTTGTACTCGTGATCTTCCAGCTGCAGTGGAGAACAAAGCCATCACTGTGCCCTAGCGGAGACCCCCTCAGGCCCACCCAGGGTACAGTGGGGGTGGCACAGGACCTCATTTGGTCTATGGGTTGCCCTGGGCATCAGTTCCTCATCCTTCCCTTGTTGGAAATGACACCCTCTCATAGGGCGTCAGCAACACCAGTCACTCCTAAGTGGGATGGCTGACAGCTTAGAGGCTGATGAAAACTATAGGATTCTCCTTCCCACACATCACACACAAGAGCCATTGTCTCCAAGCTAAGGTGACACAAAGATCCCTCCATTTATCCACAGACACCTGGTGGATCCCACAGCCTCTGTCTGCAGACCGCTGCCCTTTGCCCCTGAATCCTATCCCAGGCTCCCCATTGGAGCAACCTCAGCCTCTGACCCGGAACCTCTCTGTGGCCCTGTTTAGGGACCCCTGGCTGCCTGGCTCCCGCCCTGCAGCTCTCCATGCTGCCCTGCCCTGGCCCTCCCTGGCTTCCAGGCTGACAATCCCATAGATGGCAGGAAGTGGCAGTGGCCAGCAGGGCCCTGGGTGCTCCCAGCCCCAGCTCCTCCATCACCTCCTCTCTTCCATCCTATGCTCAGGCTGCCCTACAGCGCTGCAGCTGCTCCAGCCCTGCCCTGCGTGAGCTGGGCCCCTCCATATGCTCTGCAGGCCCAGCTCACAGGCGGCCTCTCTTCTGAGAAACCTCTCCACTGTCAGCCCTGGGACAGGGCGGCTTCCGAGGGGGAGGGGAGGAAGGAGTGAGCAGAGTGGACACAGGCCTCACACCCTCCTGGCAGGAGCACTGGGCGATGCTGGTTCCGTCTCACTCTGATGGCTCAGGGTCACTTTGGGAGGGCCCTGGGGAGCAGCGTTTTGAGCCTCCTGGGGAGCAGGTTCCATATTTTGACTTGTCCCATGGAGAACACAGGTGGCTGCACGCAAGCATGGCCACGTTACCTTCACGAGGGGGGCCATCAGTCCAGCAGGGAGATCAAAGTAGGGCACGTTGGGGACCAGGCTGGGGTCATCGTGGTTGATGTGGGGAGGGCCTTGTCGCCGCATGTGGGGGGGCTGCCCATTGAAGCCGTGCGGGGGAGGGCCGAAGTCGGGGTGCTGAGGCCCAGCCCAGGGTGGGTGCTCGTTGATCCCAGGATGGGGCATGCGGTGGCCAGGGTGGTGGTGAGGGGGTCCCATCTCTGCAAAACAGAAACTTGTCTCAGGCCTACTGGGCCATCAAGAGCTGGACAGTGCCAACCACACATCAGGATCTCCAAGGTGACAAGTGCCCGTGGGAGGGGCTCAGCGAGGGGCAAGGAGGCCAACACCCCTGGGCAGCTGTGCCTGGCACCTTCTCTCCCAGCTCCTTGAGACAAGGCAGCGATGCAAGGAGAAGCCAGGGCCCAGAGGGGCCTGTCCTGCACCCACCCCCAGGCCAGCAGCCACGGGCACATCTGGGGGAACTCGCAGGGGAGAGAAAGCAGCACAAGGAACCACAACCTTAAAACAGCAACGTCATGGGCTGGATCGTGTCCCCTAAATTCACATGTCACAGTCCCAACCCCCAGTACCTTGGGATGTGACTAGAGATGGGGCCTTTAAAGAGAGAATTAAGGTAAAATGAGGCCATTAGTGTGGGCCCTCATCCAGTCCGACTGTGTCCTTATGAGAAGGGATGAGGACAGACATGCTCAGAGGAAAGACCCTGTGAGGACACAGCAAGGGGCATCACCTGCAAGCTCAGGACAGAGGCCTCGGAGGGAGCCGACCCTGCGGCACCTTGACCTCAGGCTCCCAGCCTCAGATCCCCGAGATGAGTTTCTGTGGTATAAGCCACCTGTCTATGGTACTGTTACTACGGCCTGAGCAAACCAACGACAGCCACAAACAGGCTAAGTGCTCTCAGAGCCAAACTCACAGTCAAGCACCGACTGAGAAAGTGTAGAGAAAAGCACTGGTACAGTCAGATGCCACGTGGGAACCCGAGAGCTGCTTCCTCTCAGAGCCTCAGTTTCCTCACCTGCAGGACAGGCAGACCGTGCCCCGTTCTCGGCACGTGGGGGAAGAGCGGACAGGCTTCGCACCTCCACAGCCAGCCTGGCTCAAATGAGGGTGGCGAAAGGACTAGATCAGAGGCCCTAGGTCCCAGGGAAGTGAAGCTGTGGGCCCATCCTCGTCTCCCCCACCAGCCTGAGGACTGGGCTGGGCTTCTCAGACGTCTCACAACCTTCTGCCTGTCACTTTGACTTGGACTCACCAGGTCACACCGAGCCTGCCCAGTAGGCCAGGCAGCACAGGAGGTTATGAGGAATGGGCAGGGACCCTCCTGCGGGCGACCCCACACTCACCAGCGGGGAAGTCGCCCTGGGGGTAGTCGAAGCGGTGGGGATAGGGCGGCCGCTCGAAGGGGTGCCGTGGGGGGAAGTCGTCCTGCAGGAAGCGGGGTGGGAAGCGGTTGAAGTTGTGGGGGTGTGGCGGCTGGCTGAACTGAGGGTGCTGCTGGTGGGGTGGGAAAGGCCCACGGAAGGGTGGTGGCCGCTGCATGCGGAAGGGCGGCTCACGCTGGCCCCCGCCCCAGGGTGGCTGCTCGTGCTGGCTGTTCCAGGGGCCTTCAAACTGGCTGTTCCAGGAGGGGTCGGGCTGGCTGCTCCAGGGTGCATCACGCTGGCCGTTCCAGCCAGGGTCCCCGCGCTGCTCGCCCCATACTCCCTCGTGGCTGTTGTTCCAGGGCGGGCAGTGGGGTGGCCCACCCTGGTGGTGCGGGTAGGGGGGCTGCTCGGGAGGCTGCAAGGCAAAGTGCAGGCATGAGCCCCCAAGGCAGGCCCTGGCGCCAGCGCTCAGCAGGCCGGCAGCACCGCTCTGCTGTGGTGGGTGCTGCCCTGGGGGCATCGAGGCACCTCGTTTACTGACTGTGGTGCCTGCCTGCACCGCAGGTCCTCATGGTGGTGGAAAATGACCAAACCCACAGCGCTGCACCTGCCTGTCAGTCCCAGGGCTGCTTCTGGTCCTGGGCCCACTGTGCTCACATGCAGGCCAGGCAGGCCCAAACAACCCTCCCTATGCCCGACAACACTAACTCCCTTGCAGTGGCACATTCTGTCCCACCCGAGTGCCCCAATGAGGTGGGAAACTCACTCTGATGACACCCCTTCCCTGTCTCACATCCCCTCTCCCCCAGGGCTGTCTCCTGGGGTCACCTCCCAGATAAACCACTTGCCCTCACATCCTTTTCTCAGGGGTTGCTTCTGGGGGGCCCCAAACCAAGACAAGATCTTTCTGTTGATTGGAAACAATGGGCTCCATATTGCACCCAGCTGCTGCTTTGACAATGTAAAGACAGGATTGCAAACTCCAACTCAGGGGCCGGGGGCGGGGGTTGATGGGTGGAGGGGATGTGCACAGATGAGGCCCACGTGAGGGCCACCTCCAAGGCCACGGCTGCTTGACTCTGCTGACCACTACCATGGAGAGGTTGGCCCAGGCCACCACGCCCTCAAGTCTTTTAAGAGAAGCCAGAAAGCCACATTTCTAAATCTCAGGAACTACTTCTAAATGTGTAAGATGCCACATTGGCAAGCCAAGCCCACTGCCAGGCCACTGTTCCCAACTGTGGACACACTGCCAGTAGAGGGTGAGCCCTCAGTGATGGGGCCCCATCATTGTGACCCTGACTCTCAGTCCAAAAAAGAACACTGAGCCTGGAGACACTAAGACGTTTGGTTTCCACATCTACAGAATGGTGACGAGAGCTGCTCCATCATCAGAGGGACTCACAAAACGCCCACCCCAGATGGCGCGCAGCTGTCTTAAGGGGATGTCCAATCTTTAGTCAAGTCAAATCTCTTTTCCCAAAGCTTGGGGTGGAGTGGGGGGCACAAGGCTACGACCCCAATTCTCCCTGCCATCCTTACACCTCTCCGCATAGACACAGTCACACAGGAAGGCCATGCCCTGCAAAGACAACCGAACCACACCAGCCATACCTTGTCATGGGGAAAGGTCTGGGGATGTGTCTAAATGCTCCATCTCACTGGACTAAACAAGCTGTAGGGCGTCTCCCAGACACGCTATGTCAGGTTAGGTGACCCCTGCCCCAGCCTAGGGGTTCCAACCCCAAGGAACCTGGAGAGTGTGACCAGCATCTTGGCCCGAGAAAACGCTGCATCTGCAGCCATCTGGGTGTGAGCCGGACATTTTTGACCTTCCCTTTTCTTACAAAAGCACCTTTTTCTTTCCAGGTGACAAAATATCAACACTCAGCTAGGCAAACCAGTGAAGAAAGGAAAGAAAACAGAATCACCTTACTGTTTTAACAGTATTAAAATTCCCAGCAACCACAGGAAAATGGGGATCTGTACCACCAAGAGGCCCAAATAATGAACGTGCTGGGAAGGGACATAAAGACCTGACTCTCTCACTCCACCTGCCTCCAAGCCACAGGAAGATGGGGCTATCTGTCACTCACCCAGCACAGGCTCCGTGGCAGAATCCTACTCAAGCTTCCCCAGCAAGTCACTAGGAGCCCAGCCACTGGTGTGGGGGAGGCCATCCACCTGCCTGCCATCCCATTGGCCCAAGTATGTCCCACCTGCCCCCACCACAACTTTTAAGAAATACCTGCTGTTGGCCCCAAGGAGCAACAGGGTGGGGCTGGTCAAACCAAGGGGGCTTGTTAGGCGGGATCTGGTCATGGGGCCCGGGACCCCGGGGGCCGGCAGCTGCAGGATCCTGGACCCCTCCTGCAGCGTCGTACTCTGAAGAACCGGGCATTTGGATAGGAGGCTTGTTGTCATCTAAATCCAGGCAAGAAGCAGTTAGAGAAGGACCCTGTTTGCAGAAGGCATGGCCTGAAACAATCTTTGACACCCACCAGAGCCAACCCAGGTTGGGGCTTTTATTTCCAAATAAATCCTTGCTTCATGACCCCACTCAAAACTGTGATCACTGCCCACCTCCAGGAAGGGGATAGGAAGAGGGGAGATTCTGACCTCACCCACGACACACACCTCCCTTCTCTGAAAGCTTCACAACAAACACGCTGTCTCGATTCAGTATACTAAAGAAATCTTTGCAATGCTGCTTTTCATACACTTTTTCTGTATCTAATTAAAAGGTCATTTGCTTCCACTTAATGTTATTTTGTAGGTTTTCCATTGTTAAAGCATCCTCATGTTCCTGGGACAAATCCTATTTGATCATGATGCACTGTTAAAATACGTCGCTAGATTTCATTTGTTGAGATTTCACCCAGTATTTGTTTTCAGTTCACAAGTGACACTAGATTATGTTTCCTTGCACAGTGCTTCCTCAAGTGTGCTGTAAAAGTCACCCTAGTCTTGTAAAATCACCTGGGTAACCTTCCTCTATTTCTCTTCCTGGGGCAGTGCACAGGAAAGGGACTGCTGGAGTCTCACGTGTAAAGTCACCTGGCCTAGTGCTTACAAACAGATTAAAACCTGGCCCTGGGGATGGGCCCAGAACTACGGAACGAGAGCTGTGTGTGGAGTGGATGGGGCTTTCTGCCCATGCAGCATGACCAGCCTCTTGGGGCTACCTGCGGAGGGTGGGGGCCGAGGGAGCCACGTACCAGGCTGGGTGGTGGGTGGGATGGCCGGGGCGGGAGCTGGGGCTGGGGGTGGAGCAGGAGGCGGTGGTGTGGCCTTGACCTCGGCTTCCATTTGCGGCATCTGGATCTGCTGCTGCTGTTGCTGCTGCTGCTGCTGCTGGGCCAGGCTGTTGACGAACTCCTCGTGCTGCGTTTTGAGGGTCTGGATCTGCTGCTGGAAGGCCAGCTGCACTGGCTGCACCACCGAGGAGTACTCGTTGATGAGGGTCGCCTAGCAGAGGGAAGAGAACCCGCCATTCAGGATGCAAGCCTTAGGGCTTGTTGCCTGGTTCCCCCATACACAGGGATAAACGCCTGGAAAGCAGCAAAGCCCAGGGGACCTGGAGCAGGCAGGCAGGCAGGTGGTTGTCACATAAAACAACCAACAAGGTCTTGACAAGAGAGTGTGGGATCTGGCCAAAGATTCGGTGATAAGGACATTGATTGCAGAACAGTTTATAATGCCATAATATCAGGAACAAGCAATGACAGCCATGCCTTGGGCTGCTGTTTGGCCATTAAAAACACATTGCTAGGGGCTGGCTGGCTGGCTCAGTTGGTTAGAGTGCAGCTTTGTAACACCAAGGTCGTGGGTTCAGGTTCCACTACTGACCAGCTGCCCAGAAAAAAGAAACAAAAACTCCCCCACATCACTGACCAACATTCTAGGACACGTTCACCAGTTCTGCCTCTTACTTGCTCCATGGCTTTGAGCAAGTCACAACCTTCCTGTGCCTCAACTGCCTCACCTGTAAAACGGGACAATAATAGGACACACCTCTGAGGGCTTCAGAAGAACGCAGTGAAAAGCCACATGGAAAGGGACCAGGGTGGTGGCAGCTCAGTAAATGTGAGCTGCTAGCAACAGATCAGCAAGAAAAAGGCAGTTAACCTAACTGAGGCGTGATGGGGTGATTTGGTGATGTTTATTTAAAGAAAGAACATTTAGAAAAAGTATGAAATGTGCTCTCCTTGTCTGCTTTTCTGAGCATGAAACCCTCTCCCCTGTGGGAAGGGTGGTGTTTAGGACCGTCACAGAGAACAGTCAACATGTAACTTCTGACATTCAAACCAGGACTCTGCAGAAACGTAACTGCCTCCTGGCCTGACTGAGGCAAGTGGTGTGAAATGTGTGTTTCTAGCAGCTGCGGAGGGACAGTGATGCCGGTGCTACTTTGAACTTGACCAAGGAGACCCATCCCTCCCCCGCTCCCTCCCTCCATGCCCTGGACTTGGCTGAGCCCCCTCTCACTTGAGCAGATGCCCCCTCCAAGAGCAGGCAGAAGACTGTGGGGACAGCTGTGACAGCCTAGACTGTGTCTGGGCATTTTCAGGCTCCAGATCAGGACAGGCCAAAGATACCCCACAGAGCAGTGACTCAATCAGGCAACCTGTTTACAAGTGTGCCAGGAAAAAGTCAGGCAGGGCACACCTGGGAGGGGGGCAAACCAGGCACCACCACTCACTACCATCTGAGAGGCACACCTGGGAGCCCAGGCTGGTAAATGTCACCAGAGGCTCTGCAATCACCACTGCCATCCCCACGGCAGGGGATGTGGACTCCCTGACATCTGGGGATGTGCTGGGGGGCTGATGCTGCCCTCACACTCAAACCCCTCCTGGGGCACCCACCCTGCTCCTGGGGCTGTGCCAGTGGGAGGGCAACACTCACCTGGTACTGGCCAAGCCCCAAGGCTGGACTCTGTAACTGCTGAATGATCGAGTCATCAAAGTAGCCATTCTTCTCCCAGAGCTGCAGGAGCTGGACATGGAGGAGGAGAGAGGCCATGTCAGAGGGAAAGAGTCAGGAGGCTCCCTGGCCGCCCTACACGCCACCGGCCCCAATGCCCCCAGTGGCCTCACATACCCGGGCGATCTTCTGCTGTTTGTCCTCCTCCACGGCCAAGAAGCTAGTGCAGTAGATGGGCACCACCACCTTCTGCAGGGCGGCCAGCAGCTCCCGGGCCTGCTTGCGCTGGCTGTGAGGGAGAGACCTTCCGCGCGTCAGGGCCCTGGGGCGGGACCCGGCCACGCGCCCGTTACCATCGCGGCTCCAGCCACAGCACCCTCTGCCTTCTCAGGAAACGGGTCCCCAACCTGGCTGGGGCAATGGCTGGGCTCCCCACCAAAGCCGTGCTGGTGCCCAGGCTCGAGGGCTCAGGGCAGAGGCATATGGACAGCGAGCGGAGGAGGGACAGAATGTAGCCTTGGGCCATCCAGAGCAAGGTCTTTCGCCCTGGTCCCCTTGTCACTAAAATAACCCTCTCTCTCCAGGCTGTCAGTGAGGATGGAGGGACACAGGGTCCGTGGAAGCCCCCAAGTGCATGCAAAGGGTGGAACATAGCTGCTGGGGGGGTCAGGGCCTTGTCCACGGTCACCAGCTATGCACAAAGTAACCTCAGCTCAGGCCAGGCCTCTCAAGAGGAGGAAGGCGTGTGCCTGTCCCTTAGGCATCTAGGATGCTTTAGATGAGGGACCATGTGCTCAGCCAGGTGAGCACTTGGCCCCACATCCTCTCTGGGCCTCTGAGCAGAGCTGCGGGAGGCACTCTATGTACAAATAGCCTGCGGAAGGCCCCTGAAATGACATGGCCCCGGGCCCCAGTGTTGTGGTGGCTGAGCCAGGAAGTCCCATCTGCTGCCCCCAGGGACAGACGCAGGACAGGAGAGCAGCTCGTGCCCCTCCTGGCTCCAAGCTCACCAGAGGGAGCTCAAGGAGAGACCAGGGGCTGGGAAGGGGGTGGCCCAGAGAGGGCAGGGCAAGCAGCACCAGAAGTGGCGAGGGTGAGGCCTGTCCCTGCAGAGCTGCTGGGGGAAGGGAGGGGTGCAGAGGAGGTTCCCAGCGAGCGACGCTTATTCCCAGCAGGAGAGAGATACAGCAATGATGCAGAGAGTGGCTGAGCGAGCCGGACCCGTGTCCCATCTGCCGGATGGGAGGTAGGCCAGGGAGGAAGACCTGAGCCGGGCTGTGTGTGGCAGGCGGGGCAGGGTGGAAAGGCCAGGCCCGTTCCTCTGGTCAGCCCACTCAAGCTCAAAGGCCAGTGTGGCAGGCAGCCTTGACGGCTACGTGCTACACACGCTCGGCCCACTAGCGGCATGTGTCTCCTCCCCACGCCCACTGTGGCCCAGTTTTGGCTTCTCCCATTAACTCTCATCAGAAGGCACTCGCCTGGCCTCGGGGAGGGCGGGGATGACAACGGTGTGAAGGATCTGAGGGGGCCAGGACAGAGAGTCAGCAACAGCAGTCCCTCAGAACCCCAAGAGCCAGGTCAGGGCTGGAGAAGGGGGCTCCATGGGAAGCTTCCAACAGCAGAGCAGGGTCAGGTGACCGCACGTGCAGACCAGGGAAGGGGAAGGGGTGGCGAGAGGCAGCAGGAGGCCATGGCGCCCAAGGCCCATCTTGCTCAGATGGCCAGAAGCTGCCCCAGGAGAGCAAGGAGCTGAGGGGACAGTGTCCCAGGGAGGCAGCAGTGTTCCCGGTAAGGCCAGGGAGAGGCCAGGCATGGGGTGAGGGAGGGTGGGGTGCCGAGACCAGTCCCAGCCCTCCAGACAAAGGGCTCCTGGCTCTGAGAGACCCTTCCCTGGGGTCTTTGGACAAATGACCCCCTAGTCCCGGGACAGGCCAAGTCAAGCTGCTGGCCGCAGAGCAGCCGCCTGGGCGAGGGCAGGGAGGTGCGAGAGGACATGGGCCTTGGGGCCGGGCGGGCGGCGGCACTCACCAGTGGTGCAGCACGTCGTTGATCAGGTAGATGAGGTGCAGCCGCAGCTCGAAGTGTGCGCCGTCGGCCGTGATGCGGTTCCGGAGGTGGCCAGCCATCAGCTCGCAGTGTGGCGGGGACTTGGCATTGCTGAACATCCAGTTCTTCCCGGCCTGCGAGAGCCCCAAGTGCACGTCACCCTCAGCCCAGGGCAGTGACGCTGGGGTCAAGGACGGAGGGGAAGGCACCCCTAAGAGCTATCCAGCCCAGACAGGTGCCTGCCTCGGGATGGGGCCAGCAGGAGCACCAGGTCTTGGGAGCCCCCGCAGCTGTCCTCACCGAGATGGCATCCTTGGTGCACGTGTCAATGATGGGCTGCAGCAGGTTGTCGAACTCATTCATGTCCAGCTGGGTCTCCTCCAGGAGCTTCTGCATCTGCTGCTCTACTGCATGGGCCACAGCCGCCGTCACCTGCTCCTGGGAGGTCAGGTGGGACCGAGCCCGAGTGAGGAGGGACCCTGCTCTCAGGCCCTGGCCCTGCACCTGCTCCAGGGCCCTGCTCCCAGCAGGGATGGGGTGGGGAAGTGCCAAGGATGAATGGGCTCTGGGTGGCCAGAGGTGAGTCCCACTCCCTCGCCCGTCCCCAGCACGGAGAGATCCCATCCCTCCCACTCGCAGCTGCCCGCCACAGGTCTGTGAGGATAAAGCCGGACAAGACACACTGGGGGATGTCTGCCTCGGGGGATAAAGATAAAGACCCAGAGGAAAAGGGAGCCCCTGCCATTCAATTAAACAAAAAGCAAAGGAAAACGGGTGATGGGCGTGAATGAACAATATGGTAGGACACAGCCACAGTTGCTGGTCATCTGGGAAGTGCAAGTTAGGACACAATGCCGTTCCTGTCTCTTCAACTGGTAAAATCAGCTGCTGCAGGGACAGGCGGCCAGTCAGGGCTGGCCCAGGCCATGACGAGCCCTGGGCAGGGAGCGAGTGCCACTGCTGCCACAGGTTTTGCTGATGGTGACAGGATGAGCGATTTCAGTCTCGAACACATATAATGCTGGGGCCAGCATCTCGCAGCACTTGTGTTTATTCATCTTGACTGTCTGGCAACATATCCGTATGGATGTACTGGGACAAAAGGGTCCATTCCCACCTAGCCACCACGGAGGTGTGGGTGAGTACCAGAAGCCATCTGGCAGCACCTGTCGTACAACTTCAAATGTGCATACTGGACCCACACTCCTACTTGGAGGGTCCACCCCAGGCGACAGGTGTACATGTGTCCAAAAAGCACATGCAATGACTTCAACAGGATGAGAAGACTCAGTGTCTGCCGTCAGGGCTGGGGTGACAGCAGCTGACGTGCACTGAGCCCTTGCCAGTGGGTTGGGCCTATCCTTGGCACTGGGCACGGTAAGGAGTCCTCATGACACCCCTCATCCATTCCAATACGCAGGTGCAAAAACCGAGGCACGGGCTGAGATCCTGTTCCCACCTTAGGGCTGAGAGGGGAAGGGGGAGGAGCAGGCTCCCCTACCTGTCTGAGGGCCAGCAGGTGCTGCTCCTGCTGCTGGAGGTTCCACTGGCTCTGCTGGATGAGCTCGTCCATGGAGGGGGTGCCCTGGGTCGGCGCGATGGGGGTGGCAGGAGCCAGCGGGGGCTGCTGCAGGGGCGGTAGGGCTGCTGCGGGCTCCAGCTCGGGGGCCTGCTGCTTGCAGATGACTGGCAGGACAGGAGGAGAGATGGCCCCTGTGAGGAGCTGGCCAGGGCCCCACCCTTGCTAGGGACTCAACATCCACAAGAGGGCTCTGTGTAGCCCCCCCCAACCCCCCGAGTCTGCCTGCTCCCCAACTTGGAGCCAAGCCCTCCACCTCACAGGGCCCCACCCACCTGCCCTTCCATCTTTGTACCCTTGGAGACCCTTGGGACAGCCACCTCACCACCCTCTTGCTAACACCATCCAGTCCTTGCCCACTGTCCCTCCAGCACAAGCCAAGCCTGAGCCCATTCACCCCCACGCCTCACCTAGGCCTGAACCCATGCTGACCTCAGGCCACGGCCACTGCCAGAGAAACAGCACTTCTCCAACAGTGTCTCTCATCCCCCACCCTTTTCAGCAGCTCTCTTACCTCTGTCACTGTCCCCTAATCTACCAGTTCACTTTCAAGACACCATAGCCACCAGGACCCTGGACATCTGGCCCCAAGCCCATGACCCTGCAGCCCCACAGTAGTAGAGACACGTGAGCACACCCTGAGCATGCGCTGCACCCTTCCCAACTCCCCACCCCATCTTCCTTCTACCGACTCTCTTCCGATCTCCAACCCTTGGAGAGGGGGACCCGACTGCACTCAGGGGTCCATCCAGTTTGAGACACCCATTCTGCTGCAGGAGACTAGGTCAGAGACACCCCAATTCTGGCCAGATGAGATGGGAGGGGAGGTTTTCAGGGACGCTGCTCATAAGGAGGCCCTAGATCAGATGGCCTGCCTCCCTCTCCACCTTTGGGGCTGGTCTGGTCTGAATGTGATCACGCACTACTGGAGCCCTCCTGAGTCCCATCCCAAGGGATCCGGCCTTTGAACAAAGCCAAAGAAAGCATGGTGGGGTGGAGGGTGGAAAGGTATCGTCCAGGGCCCATCGCTGGGCACCCAGTTACTGCTCACGAATGACTGGGCCTTCTGGTACGTGCACCAAGGGCACCCCATGGATGATCCGCAATCTGCGGATCTCTGAGTCTCGGCCCTCTACCCTCCCAGGGACACTGCTTTGTGAAATCTGTTCTCTNAAGCTCTCTCTTAACCTCACACCCCACTCTCAACAACTTTACAGCCAGTATTCCATCTTCAATTCTTCACTCCCCTCTATTGCAACCCATGGCTGTCTGGCTTGTGCCCACCACGCCCACCCCTCAGGCCCGCTGGTTTGCCATAGGCATTGCCTCTGGCCTGGTGCTCCAGACACACTCTCCCAACCTCCATGGCTGGCACAGCTGCCCACCCAGCTGCCCAAACCAGAAACCAAGGTGTCTGCACCTCACACTAATACACCACAAGATGTCATCAAATCAGCCTGCTAGATCACATTCCAGTCTGTCCACATCCCTGCTGTCACCTATATCGCCCTCAGAACCGGTCTCCCTGCGTGAGATCCTTCCCCCTTTGCCCCTTCTCCACACGGAAGTCATAGCGCGGCTGCTCAGTGTGGTCCTTGCACCAGCCGCAGGTGACAGACGGGGGCGGAAATGGCGGGGGAGCATTTCAGTACTCGTATAGCAATTTGATGTTTCCCAGTTCACATTTTTATCGTACTTTGCAAAAGTCCTGGTCTGCAACAGACCAATTGTGTCGTTAAAAAGCAAAACCCCCAAAGTGGCCCTTCACCACAGAGTTTGCAAAGTGCCATTCTAGAACAGTCCGGGGGCTCAGTCCTCTCACCCTATTTATACAAAGGGTCGACTGCACTGCAGATAACCATGCTCCAGAACACAGACCCGAAACCCTACAAGAGCCCCCATCAAGCTTCTAAGACGAATGCCCTACTCCTCAGCAAGCCAGACTTCCCTACTCTGTGTCCTCACTTCTGGCCATGCAAAAAATACTTCCTTCTCTGGGCTTCGGCTCCCTGGGGCTTTGCCCTGCTCCACCTCCCCAAGCTCCTTCCTCTGCATGGAACACATTGCTCCCCTCAGTTTTCCCCTGAATAACTCTGACACATTCTTGAGATCCCAGCCAGGTCATCCGCACACACAGAAAGCACTTCCTGATCCCCAATTTTCCCTTGCTATAAGCACCCTCTCTTTTCTTTGTTAGGGCACTGAGTCCCAAGCAGCCCCCAATTTCTGACCCCGCAGGGTGGAAGTGGGCTGCCATCACAAGGAAAGCAGCTCTCAGCTCACAGTCACTGAAGCCATGACACTGCCCAAAGCACCTTCCTCCCCTGCCTCATTATGCTGCCCCTCATCAATATCTAACTGGTGCCTAAGTTCATGGATTCTCCCCCTTAACTCCACCTGTCCCCATGCCTACTTGCTCTGACTCCACCTGCTGACTTAATTCAGACCTTACCATCTTTTAGCCTGAGCAACTGGCCCCATTCATTCCCCTTGTCAGCTTCAGGGGTCTCAGCCTCTACTCATGCCCACCTCCAGCCTCACCACCACATGGGCCACACAAACCCGATCCTGCATGAACCCTTGTTTTAAATTTTTTTGTGGTTTCCCACCACCTTCAGCACGTTTCAAATTTGCTGGAGCTAAGAAATGATTGCTCTAGAAACACATAAGTACATACAATGTTTTCCGTACAATTTCAGACAGCTTATCTCCCCCACCTCCATCTCAAACCTAAACAGGCACCAAAACAACCCCTGGACTAAGGGGGAAAACCCAAACCTTCCTCTGGCAGTTAACACTCCAGATCAAACTCTTCCTCCTCATACACACATTCTATGTGCCAGCCATGCTTGGCCTCTTATGGGTCCTCTCACAGATCCTTACACACACTGAGCTTTTTCAAGCCACTGCACCTCTGTGGAGTCCTACCTTGCAAACTTTCCATCGAACACCGACCAAGTTTGCCTTGCAGACTTTTTTCCATAGAACACCGACTACTAAGGTACAATGACGACACACACCATATTGTAGTTTAGGGAGCATTCACCCCTTAATGCCCATTTGCTTTGCAAGCCCCTACTTATTCATTCAAGCAACATTTCTAGAGGTTGGGGATCCGCATGACAGATGTGGATCCCGTCCTCAGAAACCTCACCACCTCGTGACTAGTTTTCCATTACTCATAAGACTAGCTGTGTTTCCAACCCCATCTTAAACTCTTAGAGGGCAAGGCCAGAATCCTGATGTCCAACTGAATGAATATCAAGAAACCTTTGCCAAGAACTAAAACCAAGAGAGACAGTTCTTTTCGATCTGGACCGCAGACACCTGAAATGCACAAAAATTTGCCAGATCTACAAACAACCCGCAAAAGAGGCTACAGTCCGGCTTGTATCACCTCCTCCCTGAAAAACACTGGAGCGGTCGCTCTACTTCTGCTGATCTCAGTCATCACGTCTGTAAAACAACAGAGGAATCCCTGATCTGCAGCCCAGGATCGATAACCTCGTTCTCCATCACACGCGGATCCAGCAGCCGCTCGGTGCTGGGCCCCAGAACAGCGGAACGATTTTGAAGGCTGAACGGCCCCACTGCACGGAGCAAGAGCGGGCGACCCAAGAGAAAGCGGTTTGTGGCAGAACCCGGACTGGAATCCGAGCGACGGATCGCTCGAGGAGACTCACGCTGCTGCTGCTCCAACGCCAGCTTGCACTTGTAGTAACTGTAAAACTCGCCTCCAAACAGAAACGAGAATTTCGGGTTGTCCTTCTGCTTCTCCATTGTCATTTTCTCAAACTCGGGACCGTTGCGAGCCACGAACTGAGCCAGCTTGTCGATGACATTTCGAAGCTCCTGGTCTGGACAACGGAGAAAAGGCCACGCGGGTCTTCAGCGAGGACCGCCCAAACCCGGGGGGCCCTGGTGCCCCAACCTCGTCTCGTCGGCCGGCCAGGGGTCCCCAAAGATGGGACCGGGAGAGGCCTCCCTTGTACGAGTCCGGATAGGGGCCACACGCTCGCCGGGAATGCGGGAACCCACGGAAGAGGCCGCGGGCGAAGCCGCGAGGCCGAGCCCCGCCCCCTCCCAGGCCCGGGGACTCCGGGAAGCGGGGCGCAGCCCACAGGGGATTCCGGGGAGAGAGAAACGGATTCCCGGCCGGGCTAGACCTTACCATCGGGCGGCAAAGGCATCTCCATGGCTCCAACCGCGGGGAACGTCCTCCGGCGCCGCACGATCGCCCACCAGCGCCGTCTGCGGAAGCCGGCCGGAAGTGGCGCGAGGAAGCCGTTTAC